TCAGAATTATTGTGACTATTTGACATAATAGCCAAATTCCCTTATAGTACCCATTTGTGAAATCTCATTAGAATGTTTTGTAGAAAGCAGAATGGTCTTTCCATTTTCTCAAATTTAAGTGAACCTGAGTATGTAATTCAGAGCAAGATATTAATTACTTGGGAATCATACAAATATCTATTTTAGAAAAAAAGATATTATATTTCACAGTTAAATAAACAGACGGTTATAGTAATATGGGGGACATAATCCTTATGTGGAACCCCAGCTATGTAATCCTGAGCAAGTATCTTAACCTTTCTGAGTAGTAGTTATTTTGATGATTGAATGAAGTAACATGTGAAGTACCTGATAATTAGTGGGTCAACAACATGTGTTAATTCCCTTTTATTCCCTACTTTATCACTAAGGTAATTTCCTCCCTGGGATTTGCTAAACAACAGTTAGCTAAAGATCTAAAAATGTACTACCAATTTGGCAGAAAGGACCTCAACAAAAAGAAATAAATGGTAACAAAAGATAAATGAGATATCTTTTCAGTGTTATTTTATTGATTCCAGAGGTGAGATTGCCAATATTTATTCAATAAATGAATATCATTACATTGTACTGACAAATGTGAATTTTATCAGTACACTTAGACTTGTACATTATTATGAAAAAAATTAGGATCTTGGGTTAAGGCAAGGAAATAGAAAATAAATTACCTAACATGTAAGGACTAGAATATGATCATATTATCAAATTTTGAGTCAAGAAATAAACTCATTCATTCAAAAATTATTCCTTGTTTATTTAATAGTGTGCTTGTCTATGAAAGTATGAAGATGAGATTATTCTAGTCTCTTAAATCTGGGAACAAGCAAGTAGTGAGGCAAATGAAGGAAAGAGGACAGAGATCAATAGAACAGATGAAATTTTAAAAGCAGGAACAAACATAAATAGCTAAAGCAGAAGAATATGAACATGTGTGAGTACTGATATGAATAATACTATACACTTAACTGCCTAATGGATTCGAAAACATAAACAAAAAGTCAATATGTACTTAATTTTGGATTTGCTTTTAAACTGTATTGCCATGTAAATAAATGATCATATATGTGTCAGCATTGCTCATCTTGTTTCAATTACTCCAGCAGGCAATATATATTTCTTTTTTAGACAGTCAAACAGTAAGCCTAATAATTACACAACAATGACAATAAGCCAGGGTCAGATGTCCTTTAAAAATACAAAATACAAGTATTTGAGTATTATTAAAGTTGCTATTTAGGAAAAAATTACAAATTTTAGGCAAAATGTAATTTAGGGAAATCTGTTTCCTTCTATATCAAATCTATGCTGAATTATTTGGCATACATTTTTATAACAATTTCTGAATGTAAATTTTCTTAGGAGAATAGCTGTCTAAAAATATTGAACAATTTGCATATGCTTACATTAGAAATATCTTTTTCCAGGTGTGAAATATAGTTATTTACCCAAAAAAGTATAAGAATGGAAATTATTATAATTCAAATGAATTAAACCATCAAAAATGAGAATAAATTAATTCTGTGTATTTGGTATTTTATAGATGTGAAATATGCACAGAGTATTCTTCATTTTACTATTCTAGCTAGAGAATTAGAGATTTGTACAAAAAAAGACTGACGTATCACCTTAACTTTATTCTTGATGTTCTTAGTGATGAAACCACCTTTTGATAGGAACCTTTCAACATATACACAAATGTTCAGGTGAGCTCTAGAAGCAATTCACTCTTCTAGAGAGTCCAGACATGCTAATTTTCCCACTTAGAAAACTATTCACCCAGGAACTTAAAACAAAGGGGGAAGGGGTCACTACAGAAATAGGTAGCAACTAGAGGATTCAGAACCAGAAATAAACAAGAACTAAATGAAAGGCAAGCACTGAAACAAAGGAAGGAACTAATTTGATATGGATTGTCTTTCTAGTCTACCATTAAGTGTTGTCTCCCCCCACCCTTTCCCTCTATGAGTGGGTGAGGATATAACAGTGAGTTTTTGAAAACTAATACTTTATAAAAACATTGTTCTCTCTGCCTATAATGAAGTTTAAGAATAACAATAAAGAACAGCAAAAAAAAAAAAAAAACTAAGAGGGAAAGAAATGGGAGAACATCATTAAGGCAGAGACTATGCACTTAAGAGTTTCTCATGTACCCATCATACTCATGACTAAACCCTGATCATCACTATAGAATTTCTTCCTTTTTGAAAGTAATGTTAGAAAGAATGTAAATTGCAAAGGGATGTTCTATGAAGGAGATTGTATATGGACTGCTCTATTTACTGGTTTATCCTGCTTCTTTACTATTTAAAATCAATTCAAAAATATTTTTACCCTTTTGCAAACCATTTTAGTTTAGAGACTGCACCATATGCCCTGGCTGCCCAGGCAATGTACAGCAAAATGCTGAGCAATCATGTTGTGGATCTGATCCATTCTGACAGCCAGCCCTGAAACTCAAGCCAGAAACCCCTGATCTTTCTTCCTCCCATAGCAGTTTGGGGACTGCTTTATGTGACTAATTATATCAGATTTCTCCTTCACCTGGGCAATGGCCTCACAAATCCTGGATGTGCAGATGACTTTCCTTATCAGCTTTAACATTTCAATGTGTTATCATTGTTTTATGACCTCTATCTCAGAATATATAATCTAAATAATGATGGACAAACATATTTAAATGATCTTTGAAATAATTTGGATTGCCTTATATTAAAATCAGAATGTTTCCTTTTATTGATTTTGTACCTTTTATTCACCTCATGTAGAATATTTGATTAGGGAATCCTAATGCAAGTTAATGTTTGATAAACAGAAATTGGTTCAAGAATTTCCTTTCATTCATTGCTTGAAAATGTCCAACAATATCCTCATGATTTCCTTAGTGTTTTACCACAATGACAAAATAAATGTCTGGCATTCCCATTCACAGTCTATTTTTAATAGTAATATGTTACTGAAATTGAGGTGCTTTGAAGAGGAAGACCATTGACATTATAGTGCCACAGCATCTACAATACAAACTGAAAAACTACAGAGCCACAAGGGGGCATGCCATTTATTTGGGACAATCATGGGCTAAGACAATCTTTTTTTAAAATTTCATAATGTTCAATGAACAATTTTAACTTACAGATAAGTACATGTAGGAGAGAGGGATGAGATCTCAAAAGATGTACATAAATTAACTTTGGGGCAATCTATCTTTCACAGCATATTATAGGGTAGTGCCAGCAGGTCACAGATGCACACCCTATGAGGAGCCTAAAAAGACATCTGTGAGGAGGGGAAAATGAAGTTTAAATTGTAATGTAGTAATAAATAGAAACACCCTTCAGATGACTGTTCCAAATATCTTTTAAAAGAAGGAAAAAATGCTCTATGTACATTTTCTTTTGCGATGACAAATTAATTATAAGTAAAATATTCTAGCTCACATATACTCAAGGAACAAGTAAACAAAGAGAGAAGGGACACTGAAATGAAGACAGAAGAAAGAAAACAAGAGAGAGAGGACATGAGCTTATTACATTATGAAGATTAAGAGACATAATTTTAAATAGTAGCTTTATCTATAATTCGTAACTCTTCTGATTTTGAATTAAAATTGAATTCAAATATGTTCATGCTAAATCTTATATATCACAAAAAATTCGTAGTCATTTTTTGTTTTCATTATAATTTCTATTACATCCTCTGTCTAGTAAAGACATGAGCCAAGTCATGACCATTTACCATAAGGACATGTATCTCCTTGATTCCTGGCTCAGGGTCATTATTTACCTGCATTTGGATATTTGTTATGATTCTTATAACCCAGGTCATACATATAAAATCAAAATTAAACAACATGTTTTAACATAAGTACTCAGGACATCCAAGTAACATCATATTCAACAATACCTTTTAAGCTAAATCACTTGGAAAATTCACATAACAGTCAAGCTTAGCCTTTAAAAATTTATTTTATGTCAATAATAACTTTAATAGCCACTGATTCCAAAATGTACAGTTTAGAGGGGTGAGAAATAAAAGAATACAAAAAGAAACCATGAAAAAGAAAATAATTCAGAAACCTTCCATCACATAGGTTGTTAAGTACTTGCAGAAGACAGATATATTTCCTTGAGAAGCACTTTGAAAATTCACACTCTTTTCCTGTGATCACAGAGTCTACGATTTCCCCATGCCACCATTTTAAATAATTAACTTTTATTTGCAAGCTAGGTTTTAAAACTAATCAAGGTCCATGTTTTGCAATCATTTCCAATAATCTCTTAGTATGGAATAAATATTTGTGAAATAAATGAAAAATTAAATAAAAGTATTTTAATTTCTTACAGAAGAAATTTTCTTTCAAAGATAAAACTTGTTGCATGGTAGTATAACAAACAAATGGCTTTCTCCTGTGATTATTTCCAGTGTTATTTCTAACTTATTAACATGCAGTCTGCCTGATTAAACTTGGTACAGTATTATCTCTTAATGACAGGGTCAGCCTCCTCATGGCTATGCTAAAAGCATGGGCATGATTTCCTTCTTCTCTTAGCTTGCATTCTACAAGGTCGATACTTGGAAATACATCTCCATTTAATATAGAATTATTTAAAATCTTAAGGAATAAATTTGGTTTGAAAATGAAAATAAAATTGTCTTTTTCTTGTTCTTTTTTCCTTTTCTTTGGAAATGGTTTTAGCATTCAAAAAAAGAAAAGAGTAATAAGTGTCTAATAAATACATGAAGTAAAGATAAAAGATGTTGACATGAGAAACCTGAGAGAAAAAAAAAACCTAAAAAGAATTAAAGAGATTACCAAATCATTTTACAAAGTTCCTCATGTGCGTTTTAACCTGATGAGCAATTCATCTTTTACATGATGAATTACAGATGAATGATAATTTATTCTGAAGTACTGTGTATATATCACCTTAGAATGAGATTTTGTAAGTTCAAAAATTACTAACCTTCTTTGGTACAATTGACTTGGGTTTCATCACTGAAGTCCCCACAGTCATTGTCACCATCACAGGCCCAATGGCCTGGAATACATCTGCCACTGGCACATCTGAACTGGTGATCAAAACAAGAGTAAACACAGCCTTCCTCATCACTCCCATCGCCACAGTCATCATCTGGAAAAGAAGACACAACAGCAGGTAGTGAAAACAGATCCAGAAAGAAAAGCTTTCTTAGACCTAACTTTTACTTTCTGAATGGAATTTTGCTTTTGAAAAAGGAATGATGTTGAGTCAGTCATCAACCTGTACCACGAACAATGAGAGAATTATTTTCATCTTTATGACAGTATTGCTTCTCTTCTGTTATAACATCAACTGCTAAACTCAAAGAGGAAGAAAAATGATGGATTTTGAAGCGTAATTTTCATTTTATTCAGAAATAACTAAGCATTAACTGAATATGAAGCACAAACCAAAGTGATATTGATGATCGTAGCAATTTCATGAAATGATACAAAGAGTGATATAATTATTGTGTAAAGTCATTACTTAAGACTATAATCCTTATCCTGCAGGGTTCATAGCTGTGTTTCTACTCAGTTCCTTTCCATTCTCCAACAGGAGAACTTACATGCGCTTTTCCCCCACTACCTACTGTGCCTGTGTTTCTGCCTGGAAATTGCCATGTACTACCATTAGAAATTATTTATTTTCTCTATTAATAAACATTGAAAGAGGGGGGGAGAGGGATATGAAAAGAATTAAATTAAAATTAATGGCTGAAAATTCATTGACTCTTATGTAATTGATTTTTGTGTATTTGGAATAATTCAGCATAATGTATACAACTAAGTATAAGGAAAAAAATATCACTTGTGCATTAAGAGCAAGGTGACAGTATTGAGAGCATCTGGATAGATCCATAATAATTTATAGAATAGTCCATCCTGAGGTCACATATGATTTGGGAACCTGAATTTTCCAGGTTATGTTCTTAATTGTCTCCTTCACCTCATGTTGATCAATTTAGAATATATCCAATGTAATATCTGAAAATAATCTCTATAATAGTCTCATGGGACAAATTCTGGGCTCCATTATTCTTAATGCTAATTCCCACTGAAGCTCTCTAATCACTCATCTTAACCATTTTGCTTGATCTGTAGGCTTCTCTTACAAACTGTCTCTGAAGGAAGCCAGGCAACTGGGACCACCAGCTTCCAAGTAAATCAGTGGTGTACAGTGAACATTTGGTACTTGCCAGAATCACAGTGCCATTTGCTGCTAATGCATCTTCCACTTTTGCATATAAATTGAGTTAGGGGCTCACAAGTTGGGAATTCTGTAAAAAAAACATAAAAGAATTCAATAGGAAACAGGTCATTGACTTTTTTTTTTTACTTAATTTGTGTCTTCTTAATGCAATCAGAACTCCTCTCCCATTCTCTACAAAGGCACAGATGAAAGAGTGGATAAACAATTATAGTGACTGTAACTTCCTCAGGACATAGGATACACATCCTTTTAATATCTTTTAAATGAGTACTTTCCAGTACTGAAAGCCTAGGAGAATCATTTGATGGAGGATCATTTAGATTCATTATACTGCAGGATAAATGAATAGATGTCAACTCAGTGCATGAGAGTACTCAACGTTCTCTCAGTGAAAAATAGCAGATAAAAAGTGCTGCATGTTGGTGCTGCAAAGTAATGTGTTTATACCTCTTCAACTGACAAAAGTTTTTAATTGAGAAAATCCAAGTAGTACAGTCAGGTTTAACACTGACCTCTAAGAAATGTGACATCAATATTATAAGGTAAAGTAAAAAAACAAAAAACAACTTACTAAAATCAACTACATAGACACTGTAAATGTGAATTCTGAGTGTAAAGAAAAAAGAAAAAAAAACCTGAAAGAAGAATTAAATTTCAAAATAAATTTTTATACAATTACATCATAAGACTGATTACATTAATTAACATTTAGATAATTATAACAGTAAAAGTCATGGAATTATCATAAAATATTTTAAAGAGATAATTAGCCAATTTAAAGTATTCCTAAGTCTAAAGAAATTAGACTAGTTTAAATTTCCATAATAAGATCTGATAATCAAGATTACTTTTAAAGAAAAGGTAATGTCGATCAGAGAAAAATATAATTACTGAACAGTGAATCTAAAACATTTGGAGTAATACTATTTCCCAGGAGAGAAATTTATTCTATTGAATATATGGAAAAAATTTTTACCTAAAATTTTGTAAATTGCTTAATACCAGACCTTTTAGCTCCCAAGAAAATATGCATGAAATCATAATTTCTCATATACCTGAGCTCATTTATCAGATATTAAAAGAAAAATAAATTCCATTATTTCATTGATATAAAGCCAGAAGAAAGTGATAAGAAATGCTATTCATCTGACAACTGAAGCCAATGACATTTTATGTGAAGTATTTTGTTTTTCTCTTTAGGAACTGAATTAGCACAATGATTCCACTATTATGTGCACAAATAAAATTTCAATCCACAAAAAGATTGAAATTTTATTTGTGCACATAATAGTGTATTAAAAACAAATTATCTTTTAATTTACAATGTTTCAAATGATACTAAATTATGCTAATTTATAGCTACTGATATAAATATTATTGGGAGGCTAACTTCAAAAATAATGATATAATTTAAAAAGAAGATAGTGAACTTTGAATCATAGAATATATTTGATAGAAGGAAACAGACCATAAATATCTTCAAACTTTATTATGTAGACTGTCTCAGAGCTATCTAAAATAGCTGATGGCTGAGCAGGCTGGACTTTACTGCCCAAAATTCTTCAGGCACATCTATTCACTGCCTATCTATGAATCTATATATCTATTACCTACTATTTTTGTATGTATCTATCTATAGTTTTAAATTTTTTAAATTTTGAGCATAATTTGGAGAAAAATATATTTAAAAATGTATTTTTCAGGTTTAAAACCATAACAACCAATGATTACGTCCAATCATTTTAGTCTCAAGGCAGTGAAACTCAGAATTAGCCTTGAGTAGTATGATAGATATCTCCTTATCAAAAAACAGTCCTAAGAATTCACATCTTCAAACTCTCCATCCACTTCTCTTTCTATATATTCTATTGCAAATTTCATTTGTCATTTGTTTGTGTGCCTAAACTATTTTACTCTATCTATATTTTGAGCATAAATTATAAGCAGTAAACATTTCTCATTTGTTATTTATCACTTCCTTACTATCAGAAATGTGTCTTTATCATTATTTTTGTATTTTGTTTACAAGTTTTGTATATACCAGATACTTTTTCATAACTTTACAATTCTGGACATTTCTATTATTTATAAGGTTTTTGATATCTAAATTATAAAACACTATGAATTTTTATTCGTGGGGGAGGGGCGGATACTAAGAGCCTAGTTACATCCTACCACTAAAGTACATCCCTAATCCTGTGTATTTTATATTAAGTCAGGGTCTCCCTAAATTGCCCAGGTTGGCCATGAACCTGTGATTTCCCCCTTGCTCAGCTTCTTGACTCCCTGAGATTAAAGCATATGCCATTTCACCAAGCAATTTTATTTTTATAGAGTAGATTGTACCAAGATTGACACAATCATTTTTGTCATACATTTTTTGGCCTATCCTGATCATTTCTTTTTATGGGTTGAACACTTCATATAGTGTTTCAGGAAGTGGTTCTGTTCAAAATCAGGTTATGTAACACTTTCCTAATACTTTAAAAAACAAGGCACATCAGTGATGAGATCATCAGGAAATACGAATTTTAAATGACATTCCTGCAAGCCCTCTAGAATGATTTGCATTTTCACCTTAAAAACTATGATTTTTTTGAGTTAAAAACATATTTAAATTATAGTTCTTTCAATTCACAAAACACTGAAATTAATATTTATTGGAATTAATAAAAAGAGGAGCAAATCACTTTTGCAAGATCAAGTCAAGGAAATATCTTGGATAGTATTCTTAAAGTAATAAATTAAAATCAGAGGTGTGAATATTTATACACATTCTTAAAGTAATGAAACAACAAGGCAGATTTGGAGCCCTCAAGCAGACAGGAAAAAGAGAATTCCCTAGGATAACCAGCATTGATAGCAGTGAACAGACTTCAGATATAAGTGTCTAACTTATGCAGTTGATAAGTTTCTATTGCTTCACAAATAACATGACGGGAAAGTGATTGCTCATTCCAGATTTAGTAGATATGACATCCTGGATTACCTGCTTTTTTTATATCTTCAAAAAAGTAATTTCTTTGTGTAAGTTTGTATTAGAGTATATCCATCTAAAGTACTGATTTATGAATGGAAATGTTTCTAAAACTAAACAAATATTTATTGAGTTTTATGATTACCAAAGTAATGTCTTGATATATAAATTTTAAAATAAACTGAAATTTTTGAAAACCAGACAATGTCATCAGGACCAAAATATGATTCAAATGAAAAGGCAATAAGAATGTTCACTTTGATGATGAAGTAAAAGGGAGGCAAAGACTATATGAAAAGTTATCTACTTAGAAATCTAAAAAATATTCTGTTACAGAAGGAGATGTAGTGGAAAGACCAGTAAAAGGCCCAAGGCATGATTTAATAAATACTTTCAAGAATTATTTCTTTTAAGATAATGAGGACTTATACTTTTTTTCAAGAGTCAAAAGAAATATTGTATAAAATATGGCTTTTCTTAGATTAAATAATAAGTGTTTAGTGTTTAGAAGCTTTACTGTGGCATGAATTAGGAAATTTCAACAAGATATCAGGTTATGACTCAAATTAAGCAACAAAATGCAGACTTACAACATGATGAGATACTTTTTTTTTAAAAAAAGTAATGTTTTTATATCTTTGGAGGCTTATAATGCATTAATTCACATTTTTCAGTCTAGGCATATCAAGCAGCATCAACAGTTCTACTAGAGAAAATAAATCATCCTAAGCATCTGGAAACTTCTGAAACTTGGTGAAACTTCACTGGCTGAGAAATTTTTCATGTTAACTTTAAGATTGTTTATAACTGTTAGATTCTAACTCTAAAAATCAGCCAAAAACATAAACTGAGAATTAACTTTCAATAGGTAAAAAATTCTCAGGATGAAAAAAAAAGAATCTTGAATGCAAAAAACCTTTAATACATCTCTTAGAAGAAACATACCTTTTGTTGCATGTACATAATACAAATGTGTTATTAAACAACTATACATCATATCTCATTACTTTTTCATGATACTTAAATTACACAATTTCTCTTCTCAACTTTATATTCTCATCTAGCTTTAAGGACCTACATGCAAATTAGTATGTAGAAAAAAAATGGGAAGAAGAGAAAAGGAGAGTGCAAATTACTAAAAAGAATGAAGATATTATATAAAAGGAATCATGTAGAAGAATCAAGTTATAAATGTTTCACTCTGATTTCATTCTCAAAATAATGTAAACTTGGGTAAATCATTTATGCTTTCTAGTCACAGACTCTTGATTTAAAATATAACCTTTGAAGTCCTAAAGATAAAGAAGAAGAAACACCATCTAAAGATGCACAATACCCTGAAAACATTTAATGTAGCAAAGTATAAGGTTCACCACCTTAAATAACATCTGGGTTATCACAGCATTACAAGAAAGCACAGTAACTGAATTTCAGAAATGGGAAAATACAAAAATGTAAAAAAAAATGTCTTGGACTTTTCTCTACTTAATAGTATAATCAAATGTATGAAGAACTATGTTAAAAAATTTTAAGTGAAATATAGGGCCATTCATTCTCTCACTAATGTAGAAAAATACCCTCTTCATAAGTCCTTATTATCCTACTGAGAGTATAGTGATGATAGGGAAGCGAAGTATCTATCATACATGATTTCTTCTAAAATAAAACAAAATTAAAGCACCTTCAAAGAAATTTAATAATTTTCATGTCTTTTCATTTAAAAGTTGAAAATAGTATTTGAATATTCCAGTTGGTTGCTAGTTACATGCCCTGTTAAGATATAATTGTGAGTTTCATATATAACGAAGGTTTAAATATTACATGTAGTTTTATCCTTCTTGACTTTGCACAAATATTCTTTGACTTTAAATCTTCTTTGAACACAAATTGCAGAACACTTGGAAAGATTAACTGATTAATTCTGAAGAAGAAAAAATTATGAACAAAGAAGGCTTACATTTTATCATGTTACAATTACAGTGAGAAAAGAAAACTATATTTTACTTTAGCAGTTACTTCAACTTCATAAAATATTTAATATGGATTAATGGACTGTTAAAAACATTTTATTATTGCAGGTAGTATGCTCA